GTATGGCCAGGAGCGCCCCTAGTAGCGTCCTTGCTCCTAGTAGCGATTCCTTTATGCCTTTTGTTCCTAGTAGCGTCTTTGTTTGCCTTCAAGTGATCAATGCGAAGACGGAGGTGCAGCTGATGATTCGCTCTCCGGGTCTTGCTTACGCACTGAATGACTTCTTGGAAGTTCTCTCTAATCTCCACAGGGACCATGAGGCTCTTGGCTTAGTCGTCATGGGAGAATGCCCACAGGATGGACATCTAGAAAGTTCAACTTGCACGAGCTGAAATGCAGTGTACGTATCAGGAAATTTGGTGCGAGCGCGGAAATTGGTGAAAATCAAGTGCTGCAGCCGATTTTCTTTTCTGCGGAACGAGGTCCTGTATAGATGTGCTCGCGACATTGACTTTCTCATCAATGGTCCAGATGTTGCAGCTCCCACAGGATAGACCTGCACCTAAATTTGTTGAACATTTTGAAGACATCAAATACTGAGATGCATGTCGTGGAAGTGTCAAATGCAGCTCCAGTAAGTGTTCGCCATGATTTGCCGTGTCCCGCCAGCTATGCAGGAAGAATTGACGAGCCGCCTCCCACGGCACTGCTGTTTGCAGCACAGGTCGGCCTTGTATGTCTCTCAATGGCTCGTGCAATGCCTCATCGTGTTCTTTACGGTGCTATTTTGCCTCCTAATCTCTACCATACAGTAGCCTCCTCGCTCTTAGTAGCGTCCTTGTTCCTAGTAGTAAGGCCAGGAGCCCCTGGTAGCGATGCCCTTTGCTCCTAGTAGCCTCCTCGCTCCTAGTAGCGATGCCAGGAGCCCCTAGTAGCGTCATTGCCTCCGTGTCAGGTGGGCAGCTGTGAAGCTGTCCGGTTGCTGCTGTACGCTGGCGCTTCGGCCACGCAGACCATGCGGCAGTCTGTGCAATTGGGGCACGGACGCTTGGCGCTGCCAGCTCAAGCTGTGCATGTAGCTGCTTGGACTCTTCAATTGTTTATCAGAGAACACTGCAAGCCAACGTTTGAAGGCTACTAAATGGTGCCAACAACGTAATCTCAGGCCTGCTTGAGAGGAGACATGGTGATGGTAGAGCAGCTCCTTTTTTTCGGAATCAGCCCTGACATTACCTGCAGCTTGTTTGCATTGAATGTGCATGTTATTTGCACGAAGAGTCAAAACATGAGTTGTGGTTTCGTTTTGAACAATGCCCAGGCAGTGGCAAAGTCTACGCAGCAGACGATGTTCAGGCAGCAAAAGAGCTGCTTGGCATGTTGGACAGATACAGCTGCATGGCAACTCCAAGACAGAATGCAATGGGATCCATGTTTGATCCGTCTAAAGACTATTAAACTTTAAGAGAACCTAATAGCGATGGCCTCCAACCTACTAGCGATGGCCTCCATCCTAGGAGCGATGGCCTCCAACCTACTAGCGATGGCCTCCACCCTAGTAGCGATGGCCTCCATCCTAGGAGCGATGGCCTCCTTCCTAATAGCAACCTTTACGTTTTGCAAACAACTTTGAATTGCAAGGCTGGAAGAGTGGACAGGCCTCACTTTGGTTCACTTGACGGTACTCAGCCGGAACTATGACGCTCGGAACTAGGGTACGGGAGATTCTTTCCTGCTCAGACGTTCAGTGGCGTTCAGGTGATAGGAACTTGTCACTTGAGTCACTAGTAACGGCCTCCACCCTAGTAGCGTCCTTGCTCCTAGTAGCAATGTCACTTGTTGATTTCGCCAAATTCTTCAAGGATTTGGTCCCCACGCTGCTTCAGATGGACTGCTTTCTGGAGACTTCTGCAAAGCGACACGTAGGAGGTTCCTCCATGTCAGCACCCTTGGCTACGAGAGGATGTCTTGTAATCCCTCGTTCACTGGGAGATGTCACTTGAAGCCGAGAAAAACTTTAGCAAGCTGTCAACATGGAATAAACTACTGTCATTTGTTCCTAGTAGTAGCGTCCTCTTGTTCCTAGTAGTAAGGCCAGGAGCCCCGTTCGTAGCCTCCGATCGCTCCTCTTGGCCGAAAAATCATGCGATCTCACCTCATTCAGGTAACTCCATTGCACTTGGCCGTTCTGCTGGAGGATGCCAAGGAGAGCTCACGGTAGAGTTGGTGAAGCCAATAGCCAATAGCAATGGCCTCCAACCTACTAGCGATGGCCTCCAGCCTGCTATAGCGATG